AGGTTGGCAAACGAAGTTGGCAAACGAGGTTGGCAAACGAAGTTGGCAAACGAGGTTGGCAAACGAAGTTGGTGGCTGCAACCCGGCGAAAGAATAGACATAACCCGATCGTTTTTACTACGAACGCGCCACTGGCATTTTATCACTAACATCTCATCACGCTGGCATCCATCGCATCACGGCGTTGGAGACGTCCCACTGGGGGTATTTTGTGGCGGATGTTCGAGTCGGTCTGTCCCGCTTGAGGTTGTGTCCCGGTGTCAGCGTTTGCAGAAACGTGCGTGCCGGCGTTTGTTGGTAGTTGCGCGCCGGCTATGAGCTGCACTGACCGCATGAGTTCCATTGGGGCCGCTACGTGTGGGGAGGAGCGTGTGTTGGGATGAGCGTGCGCTGGGAGGAGCGGTGGGCATGTAATTTAAATTCAGGTTTGGATGAATGGGGAGCAGGAGACTGACGTGACTCTGTTCGGCGACGAAGGTGCAGAGGAGGATTTGTATGGGGCGGAGGACTATGAGGAGGATGATGTGTTTGGGAGCGGCAATGGTCAATTACGAGAGATATTTGGTCCGGATCTGCAGACAGTATTCGACATTATAGCAGGACGTCGTTCTCGACGTCCGGCGGAAGAGGAGGACCCGACGGAGCCTACTCCGAGTGCGGCGGAGGAGCCGCAGACGTCGCCGGAAGAGGCCGTGGCGGAGGCGGATGTGCCAGAAAGGTTATATTTGCGATACGAACACCGGGCATTACCTGCAAGTGACGCTGTATTGGCCGCAGAGGCCGAATGGATAACACAGACGTTGAAAAGCTTGTGTCTACGTGCACCCGTACCGGCAGAACGCGCTAGGGTTGGTGAGGGCGCAGGCTTGTTCGATGACTTCGCCTTCACCGATGTCTTCAATGAGAAACGCCAACGCGAACGTTATGACCTTATCTTTAAACGCTCCGGCTTCGATACGGACAAACCTGAAGATGCTGGAGCAAGCGGCTGCATGTTCTTCTCACCGGAAAAAAACATAGAGCAAGACATTACCGAAAAGGCCGAACTCTGTCTCCGTATGCTCCTCAACGAACGTTACGATGTACCCTACATATGTCAGCATTGCTCGCATATTCTCATGCCCCCGCTGACACGAGATGTCGTCTGGATGATATATGCCCTCGACGTTGTCTGGTGGCGTTTGAACGAATTCAAACGATACGCCGAACGTGAGGCCACTTTACCCTGGATCAAAGACATTATCCGCCAGGCCACTTCCGAACAACGCGTCCGCGACTGCATCAACTACTGTCAGACGCAGGCCGGCGAGCCCGGGGGGGCGGCGGCGAAGGCGCCGCCGGCGCGGCGCCGGCCAAGCCGGTGAAGCGGCGACGGACGCACTTGTCGCCGGAGCAGGTGTTCCACAAGTACTTTACGCAGACGGGAATCCGGTCTGCGTGGACGGCGTCGTTCGTGGACCCGGCGGAGGTGGGTCGTTTCATTCGAGAGAGTGGACATGACTTCATGGACATGGACATTGACGGGAGTTCGATTGCACGCGTGTCGCGCGCACCAGCGGCTCCGGCGGGACTGACGGCGGCTGCTGCGGCGGCGGAGAGTGCATTTGAAGGCGAGAGTGGTGCTTTGCGGAGTCAGGTGCGTCGTTGGCTGGAGCAATTGTTGAAGGAGCGCGAGATTGCGTTGAATCCGGAGCAGGTGGTGGATATGGTACTGCGTTTTGAGGGGCGTCAGCTGGCGTTGCATCCCGAGTTCCATGAGACGGTTCGGCAGTGGTACGTGAAAGAGGCGCGGGTGACGACTTTGACGACGATGAAGGGCGAACGTGTGGTGGATGCGGGTAGTCCGAACTGGTTGGCATGTCGGTTGTTCAATAAGCCAGTAGCGCACCTTTGGTCGCGGTCGGAAATGGGTGTGAACGAAGAGGACCAGCGGCGACTGAGAGAGACCGTGGACCGGTGGGAGAGGCAGCGTGTAAGACTGGAGATAGAGGACGACGCAAACGCGCACCGCCACTTCGGCCTCCTGATCGAAGAAGCTGAAAAGGACGAGCTGATACACGTACTCTATCACCCATTGACTGAACTTGACCTCGTGCCTTGGCGACCGCCAAGACATGGACTCGATGCAGGCTCGACTCTCAACGACGTCGGCGGGCTCGCCGGCGCCAGCCTCGGCGGGTCCACCGCTTCCGGCTGGGCCGAACGCGCACGCTGGGAAAATTCAGAGGGCGAATATCCCGAAGAGAAACGGCGACTTGAATTCTTGGTGCAACAGGACGTGGGCAAGACCAACGCCTTTGTGCAGCGCGTGGCCGAAGTCATGGTCGACGACAAAGAACCGGCCGCCTGGGTCTGGTTCGTGAACGAAGTGGTTAAACACGCAGTTCTCAGAGAACTCATTCCCTCCATCCGACTGGAACTGAAGGAAAAAATTATCAAAGAAAGTCAACGCTACGTTGACCTGCAATGCAGACAACGATTACTCCTGCAACTCAGCATGAACTACAAACTCGCTCACGAACAACACATATTCCCCGACTTCAGCGCCATGGCTAAGGCTGAAGTCGATGACATGGTCGACGTCTTGGTCGAAGGCAGCAAAAAACCTGAAGATCCCAATCCACCCGAAGATCTCGGACCTGTCACCACCCAGCCCCTCATCTACAGCCTCGTTATCGAGCCCGACGGAGATTGCGCCAAATCAGCACCCGTCCACCTCGTCATGGCCAACCGCCAAGGCCTGCTCGTCAAAACGCTCACCTATCCCAGCCTCCTGGAATATGTGCTCGGAGACCCTGAAGCGCCCAAACCCAGAGACCTAGAAAACCTCCTCCTGAGCCTCCGGACGCGGCCGAATGTTGTTGCCGTCCCGCTCATCAATGCTCTGTCCCTAGACTTGTTTAATTACATCAAAGCGCTCTCAGACACACGTGTGCGCTACCCCAAAAATTCATGGCGCACCGTGTTCGTTCCCGCCTCCGTAGCCCTCCTGGCCTCCAGCAAGGACAGTAAGGCCGGCGGCAACGGCCAGGGCGCATCCGCCCAGGGCTTGTCGACTGCGATAGGGCTCTCGACGATCCGATATACTGCCAATCCTGTCTACGAAACTGCTTATTTATGGGAGGAAGGCGAGAAGAACCCGTTGTTGTCGCTTCCGCTGCACTATTTGCAGCACAAAATCCCGGTGGAGCAGCGCCTGGAGACCTTGAGGGAGTGTTTGACGATTGCCATCAACGCCATTGGAATTTATCCGAACAGGCTGCGCGTTCTACATCACTTGGCGCCCTGTCTCCAGTTCGTTTCCGGCTTGGGTCCGGTGAAGGCCCGGCGCTTGATTAAGGAGCTGCAGCAGCCGTTGGCGGCGCGCGAGACGCTGATGGGGCTGGGTATAGGCAAGCACGTGTTTGTGTCCTGCGCGTCCTTTTTCCGCATTCCGGCGACGGACGATTTGTTCAACGACCGCTACGCGGACTTGGATCCGTTGGACGACACGCGGATCCACCCGATTGAGGAGTACAGCACGGCGAAGAAGATGTTGCGCGACGCCCAGGACGACCCGACGGAGCAGCAACGTTCGGCACGGCGGTCATCTGACTACGACTCGGCGCAATACGACCCGAAACAGTTAGAGATCACGTTGGAGGACTTGGATCTGGAGGCGTACGCTTACATCTTGGGCCAAGGCGGTCGCCCGCGCATGCTGCCGCACCTGGAGATGCTCAAGAACGAGACCATTCGGCCGTTCGTGGACCCGCGTTTGCTCGTGGAGAATCTGACGCCGGCCGCGTTGTTGCGAACAGTCATGGCCGACGAAACCAAGTGCCGACCTACAGCATTGCTACAGGTATTGGTGGAGAGCAACACGCAGTTATTGGTGATCCCGGCGAACCTGTATGCGACGGTGATCGACTTTGCGCATCCGGATGCAGCGCGCGTGAGTAAGGGCCAGATCCTGCGGGCGCGCTTAAGTCGCTTGGACGAGCACGACTTGGCGATCGTGTGTGCACACACTAGTCGCGAAATCGGCGAGATTTTTAAGCGCGCGGGTGCGCAGCTCTGTCACGACCCGAACACGCTCTCGCCGTTGCTGCAGGACGACATTGAGATGGCGAGGCAGAACAAGGGCCGCCGTCAGATCCAGGGCGAGCAGCATGTGCGCAAAGTGCAGCACCCGTGCGTGAGCAATCTGGGCCACCGCGAGTTGTTGATTACGTTGTCGCGGCAGGCGGCGAGTGCCGGAGCGTCGCTGAGTGTAAGCCAGAAGTGCCGTTTCCGCATTGGGCACCAGAAGAACAACTTGATCCTCTACATCGCCGTGCACCCGCAGCCTTTCCGCTTCAAGGCCATCCCAATCGAGGAGGCGGACGTACCGAATGACGGGCGGAGTGTGGGCCGCCAACTAATCATCAACAGCGTGGGCAGTTACTCCTCGCTCAACGAGATCATTGCGCGCCCATGTACCGCTTTCCTTACGTTCGTCAACGACGTTGTTAAACACGAAAAATTCAAGTCGGGCACGCCCACTGAACTCGGCAACTCACTCACCCCCCTGTCCCCTGGCAAGGTGGAGTGGGGCATCTGCTTCGACTCCAACTCTGACATGCACCAACTCACTGAACGTTTCTGTATCATCACCACTAGCATCTCCTCCCGCACTGGCGCCAAACGCGTCACCAAGGACCTCATGCAAGTCACTGCCCAGGGCTTCAAGGTGTGGACACAACCCAACAACACGCTCCAAAGTATGCTCTCTTGGTACAAGACCAAGGGTTTCCCTAACGTAAGCCCACCCCTCATATCAAAGCCCGATATTGTATCCCCAAGCCCGATATTGTATCCCCAGACGTTGTTCCCGTGTTGTTCCCGTATCTCTACCCACGTGCACTACCCCTATGCATTGCACTAGACCTGTTACGGTGTCTCTTAGAGAGAATCCTACAAAGCCGAGTTCGAGAGGCAAAAGCATCATTCGTAGGTGCTGATCGTCGTCGTCGCTTCTCACACTCGTCGCCAGCCGCTGGCTAGCCTCTCGTTAGCTGGTCTTACACGCTGGTCTTACACATTAATTGGTCTTACGCGCTCACCCGTCTTTCGCGCGGTTGGTCTTCGTCACTGGTTGGTCTTACGCGGGCCACTCTTACGCGCTAGTTGCTGTAGTTGGGTCGACCAACGTTGTTACTAGCATCGCTCTCACTTCCGGCGGTTTCGCTCGGAGGCCGGGTGTCCTCGAGTGCAGAGTCCTCCGGCCGGTTCGCGAATCTCCACTTCTTTTGGAAGGAAGTGTCCGCACAAATCTCGTCGAACCGGTGAGTGGTCCAAGAGCGGGGAAGTATGCGCTTTACGAGCCAATGGGACATTTCTCAAAAATTATGCATGCAGGAGCAACTGGTTTGGTTATCTGATGTTCAGGAGGAGGAAGACGATGACGTGTCATCGTTTAGTGATGAAGGGTAAGGCAATTCTCAGCCGCCCGAGTCGATCACCACTTTTCGAAACAACCCCGCTCCAGACCAACTGGTGCACCTTCGTTTCATTTCGGATGGGTGCGACGTCGTCTCCCTGTGGCTCACCGGAGGCTAAGTGCCGTGAGGAAGGCCAGGCCGCGGGGGTGCACGGGTCCTGAGTAACGCAGCGGGCGACTGAGGAGTCGTGACAGGCACGCGGGCACGGACGTGTGTTACTGGAGGGGGCGGCTGGAGCAGGCTTGACTCGGGTGTGGGATGGGCATGGCAGTATTGGAAGGCGGCTTCTTGGAGGGCGAAAATGTTGGAAGGATGGGGTGCCTCGGGTGGTAATGATTGATTTTTGTTGTAGAGAGGTGTATCGGAGCATGCGGATCGTGCAGGGAGCGTTGAAGCGGATCGGTTGCGCGGTTCCGTATATCGACTTGAACCGGATTCCGCGCATGGAAGACTCGGTGGGTAAGTCGTCTGGGCACAGTTGTGATGAGGTGAGGTTGCGTCGGGCGAGTCGCAAACTGGCGGCCGCGATGGCGGAGGACACATCTACCGCGCTGGAGACAAACCAGCTGCTCACGAACCCCTTGCTTTGGCGCCGAGCGGACGTTGAAACGGCGAACCGGGCGGACTGGCTTTTCCTCGAGGATGCGGGACAGCGGAGGGCCAAGGCGCCGTACCTGCCGGCTGAAGAGATATTGGCCATCACTCCTAGACAAATGGCCCATCGGCACCCCGACCGACGCATCCCCAATTCCCGCTTATATCGTTAGTCCCACTCTTGCGTCCCACTCTTGTGTCCGACTTCCTTCCGCAGGATCAGTTGATCCGTGCACATAGCTTTAAGGTCATAGAGCTGCGCGGCTTCATGTCACACCTTCATGCTCATCCTTTCATGTCACACCTTTTGAGAACGATAAAGCACGTCATCACTTGTAGAATGAACGCAAACTGTAGCTCTGGCAGTTACCAGAAGGTAATAATAATTAGACGGTAGTAGTTACTAGACGGTAGTAGTTACTAGACGGCAGCAGTTACTATCGTAGTAGCTAACCCAGACCACCTCGGCGATAGTAACTCGGTAGGTGGTTGGAGCTGGAGAGCTCTGCCTGCCTTTCGTACAATCTTGGCGTGGTGTAGGTAGTGTTGCGTTGCAGTGGACAGTTGTTCACAGCGAACCGCGTTATTTTGGTGCCGGCGGGGTGCCAAGTAGGTGCAGAGTTGGGACTTGGAAAAGTCACCACGGCGTCTTCAGGTTTAGAATCTCTCAGAGCCTCGCTTATGCAAGACTTCCATCGCCACAAGGTGAGCCTTGGGCTGGCGGAGAGGCGGCGTTTTCGCGACTTCGACGAAGCGGAATTTGAGGTGTACGACAAGGAACTATGTCTGGAAGAGGGGCTATGTCCCTCGGTGATAACAAGCGACGTGGGCGAAGAACCCTCCGGTCCGAAGCCTATCAGTGTTAGAATCGAGCATTTTTTGGACAAGCCGGCCACCCACATTGTTATCATGTGCTTGGTCATGATTGATATGATCATTGTAGCCTCAGAATTGGCAATAACTATCGCTGATCCGCACCACGAACAGGTTCCCAAGTGGGTAGGTCACTCACTCGAGATGACCGGGGACTACATCCTTATTGTCTTCTTCGTGGAAACCATTTTGCACATCATCAGCGCCGGCGTCACGGAATACTTCAGAAGTTTGACACACGCTTTCGACTTCGCCATTGTCATGGTCTCTTTCTTCATGAACTTTTATGCCTCACAGTGGGCCCAATTTCTACTTCTAACTCGTCTCTGGCGCGTCGTCAGGGTGATGGAAACAGTCGCAGTGGCTGCGAGCCTTAAAGCCAAACAGAAATTCAAGCTGGAGAAAGATGCTATCCGTCAGGAGTCTCACTTGTGGAAAGAAAGATACTTCCACGAACGCGAAAAAAAATTGATCGCCGTAAAAGTGGGAAAAGGAATAATCTGCCTCCAATGTCACCAACCTCACAACAAGCCTAACAGCCAAGACACTCTTGAACACTCCAACGGGCTCTTATAGTGCCGCTGTGCCGTTGCCGGTGGAAACTGCACAGAAGTATACTAGCTTGGCGATATCATGTCGGGCACATTACTGTTGGCCACACTGCTGCAGCTCCAATTGTTGCTGCCCTCGTTAGTTTTCGAGAAGGTCCGATGCTGACTGAGGTCACAGAGGAAACGATTCGATTGGACACCAAGACGAAATGGCTTCCCTGCTCGAACAGTCACAATCTATCACGACTAGGCGGGAGAGCGTGCAGGACCTTAAGCGTTCCGGCACTGGAACAGTAATGCTTCGCGGCTCTGAGTCAATAGCCCGCAGTACAGCTGCTTCATCGAAGCCGTGCTTCCCGAAGCACGCGGCAATATGGTCTTTTCGCTCCCTCAGTAATTTCACATGTTCGAAACTGTACGCCAGAGAGATATGAGGGAACCACTCTTCGCCTGGTTCAACCCCATGGTATAGTTCCTGAACGAAGGCTCGACGTATGGATTTCATTTCGTCCGTAGGATCTATTGCGAGCAGGAGTGACTGAAAGACGCTGGGGCCCGTTTGGAAGCCTTTGATCAAGGGATATATGTGTCTTGTCTGGGAAGCTATTTCTTTGGTCAAAGACACCAACCGCCCAACAGATATGACATCCTCCAGGTCAGATATCTGAAATAATTAGGTTGCACACGTGTGTGCACACGTTTCGTACAATGGTTATATGAGGTTGGAATATTGGCGTTTTAGTTATCTTGGCTAGATCGTGCACCAGAGGCTCTAATATTCCGGCAAAGGAGGGTATACCCCAGATTGTCAATCCCATTTTAGATGAAAAAAATGGTGGTAAGATTTTTTCTTTAAGAGCGACATTAAAACATTCTTTAGCATTGCAGTCTCGCCTTGAATTAAACAGAGGTTGATGTGATCCGATGTGGTATCGAATAGTCTTTTGTCTGTTTTGTTCATGGTAACAAATGACGGTGGAACATCATCAGTATTCTGTTCGTCTCGAGTTCGGCCCAGCGACGAAGACACTTCAGGCAGCGAAACACTGCGGGCGATAGCATCCCGGTTCTTAATGATTTGGATCATGCCCTGTTGAGCCAGTATGCGCAGTCGCGTCACGCCTATGTATTCGTCTCCTTCCATAATGAATTCATCGTTCTCCCAGATATTATCTCTGGGTTTTTCGGCTTTTCGGAGACAAGCATAAAGATCTGCTGCCAGCATGGAAGCGGTAGCGGCGGTGATATCTCGTTTCGAGATCATGGCAAAGAGACCCATATGAACGTTTTGAAAATCCTTAATGCAGTAGCTGGGATTAAAAGAATCGCGAGCCTTAGTGAGATGCCATATAGCCTGTGCTTCGCGCTTCTCCACCAGCTTTTTTAAAGCCTTATTGCCATCCACTTCTTCCACAGCGTCAACCAAATGCTTCAAGTACTTCCCCATATGGTAATGAGCAGCTGCAACCTCTCGCGCATCTATCAAGAATCCATCCGCTGCAGTCTGAAGATGCTCCAATATCAAAGTAGTCAAATCTCGCTCAGGGCAGGTCCTTTCATAAATTGAACTCAATGATAATAACAACTCATCCGCTCCACCACCCGAAACATCAGCAAGAGGCCCTGCCGCCACTGACCAGGTATCCAAGCATAACGCCCTCTTAAGAAGCTCGGTGCAACGCTCCACTCTTCTCCCATTCAAATCAACCGCCGGTCCCTCAACAGTCGGTCCTTCAACCGGTGGTCCTTCAACCGGTGGTCCTTCCTTCCTTGTGAACTCCGTTTTTATCATTTGCCAGAGTCTGCCGGGAATTACCTCCGACGAGAACGGCAAGCTCTCAGTGCCTCCAGCGACCCCACCTCCAGCGACCCCACTTCCAGCGACCAAAGACTCCAAAACCTTCTTCCAGTTAACTCCTTCTAAGGCTTCTTCGGCCTGCACCCATCGAGGCAGATTACCAGCGATCAAGTCCGACATCTGCTGGACAGCTACCGCAGAAGCCGGAAGTCCACTCGACGACCTGTCTCCGTGCTCCACACCCTTGACACCCTCGTCCACATTGGCGGTAAGGCGTAAGGCACCAGACTCCTTGGGTAAAGCACCAGACCCTTCGGGTAAAGCACCAGA